AAAATCGTATTGTATAAACTGATCGATCGTATTTCTCGATATTTTTATAATGACGAATTATTACGAGCAATAATGATCAGTCCCCTCTTATCTCATTTTATTTTTTTGCCTTGTGTAATACAATTACGGCGATGTAATACCGATCGTTACAGCCTGTGTATAATGACCATGCGTATATTTTCAATGGCGAACTCTATGTTTCTTTGACAAGCGAAATATGAAAGTCGATATGTAACGTATTATAGAGAAAAATCTGCTTCTCTTTTCTCTCTCTCTTTTTCTCTTTCTCTCTCGCAAACGCGTGCGCGGCTTGTCATTATAGAATGAATTCTTTTCATATTACGCCGCACGATAAAGTCTCATATTTCATGCATGAGAAAGACTATGCACGTCGCGCTTCAATTTGTTTTCCTCCATATATGTGCTGGCTATCGTCATTTCGCGTCGCTAATATACTCGTTACCCGAAACAAGATCAATTTTTAATTCACGCTCTCTCAACGCGTATATATCTGTAACAATATTATGCTAAAGTCTATCAACTGTACTGCGGTTTACTGTTAAACTACTGTAAAACCGGAGTGTAATTTAATTACCGGTATAATTTAAATAAAACATTACATTGTGTGTGTTTGAGGGAGAATACGGGTCGGATTTTAAATTTTAATACATTTTAAAATGCAACATAATTTTTAAAATTATAAAAAATATACGCGAAAGACAGAGAGATAAAATAAGTTAAATTTGCATAAACACATAATTGCGAAAGTGAAACGCTTTTATTTTACGGTAAACGATTAAAATAAAGCTGATTAAAAGAAGATTATGTTTTTCCACAAATAACATCTAAAACGACGCATTAAAATAATCGTGCCTCAAGCACACACCAGAATTGATGTAATTTCAAGAGTTAATACAAAAACAAATAAGATTAAAAATTTTGAGCTCGAGAGCTCTAATCGCCTCGTCATACGGATCACGTTTCGTTGCAATTTCAAGTTCACGTTGTGATCTGTGTGCGCGATAGCCAATGATTCGAAATGAAATTATAGTTTCCAAACTCGTTTGCCATCCAATTAATTTCTTTGGGGACGTCTTTCACTCTTCCATCTAACTTTTGCCGCGTCGTTGTCCGTACCTCGCACGACACTTTTGTCGATAGCTGCCTTCGCGAAGAAATGAAAGATATCGGCGTTGATTTTTTTGCACGACGACAGAAGAGAGAGAAGGCACCTACGAGATTAATGCATCGAATCTTTTCTCGGAGAAAATTTTGCCTGTCATGCGAAGATTTGCAAGTCTTCTTCAAAGCAGTAAATTTTGCGACGATAAATTTTGATGCGAGATATTGTGTCGAAGAGAATAAAGAATCGGATGTGTATCGGGAGAGGGAAAAAAATGTAATGTTCGAGTATTCTAGTTGAGAGTATCGAATGAACGGTAACTTTGAGACTCGCGATTCCAGAACTGGATCTCTCGTGCATTTTCCCCGCATTGTAAGTTATGTGCTACTCTTGGACTCTTTCTCTGTGCATTTGTAAATGTATTATTATAGTGTATCACCAGAGCAGCGCTGAGACATTCCCGTATCTTCTACTACTTTGCGATATGAAGAGTCTCCATTTCTCTTCATGAATGTAAAGTGTTTCACAACTGTCACCACTACTTTTTCATGCCTTTGGGTTTCTCGATCGATGTAGTCTCGCAATTTTTCTTCAACTAAGATAGCTTTGGGCTTTTGCATAAGTTTTTCATCTTCAACCTTAAAAAGTATCTAGAACTTCAAATCAAATTAAAATCTATATCATTGCTCACTTTTAGTAAAATTGTTATTCTCAAATATTTAAAAAAATTTTTTGTGTTTTTACTGATGTTAATTTGTAATCCGATACAGTGTTATATTAAAAGGATCTCTTTTTCTTATATAAGTAAATAAATAAAATATTTCACGCAATTATTCACAAAGTTGAAGCTTATTTGTTAAAATCAAAAAGAAAAAGTTAAGACGTCTTTTCTGTTCGATTTTATAATTCATATAATTTTGTAACAGTATAATATCATGTTTATAATACCTTAAATTATTTTTTACAATTTTACATGTACACAGTTTTTGTGTTTAATCAATTATAATTTAGATTAGGTTGATTTTCTATGCATATTTTAATTACGTTGAGACTAAGCAATACAGAATCAAACTTCGACATTTTTTTTGCGCGACACATTTTTAAAAAATCGGTCATATCAGAGTCATGTACATACATGTGTATTTCATATTTTACGGGAAAGCGAGTGGGAAAAATATCTTTGGCAGGTCTACGCGTATCGTGTTCGACTGCCAGGTACTATTGTAAAATGTGGCTTCGCAGTCTGTCGGACGTTATTTCGAAACCTATTCTACGTTGGTGCATTCAGTTTGCTCGGTTGAAGTTGCTTGAAGTTACGATGCGCCCCCGTTGCGACTTCCTAATAAAGTCCGAACAAAGGCTTCGCGAGAGCTTTTGGAAAAGTTAAACTATCGAATTTAACGTTGCGATATTTTTTTTTAAATGTCTCGTAAACCGTAATACATACGACTTGCAAACTTGAGAAAACTCGTGAAATTTCGTCGCAATTCCTGACGGTATTGTGTTTTTACTCGGCAAGATTTATCCCTTTTCTCGATTGCGAGAGAGATGCTCTTAATTAGCGAGACAATCTCACAAAACACCTGACCTTTCATTACGATCTCGTGTAATTTGATTATTTCTGTAAGTAGCACCGATCTTTTAGATAGGGATGTTATTGCGCCTCGGATTTAAAAGAAAATCTTTGCTTTGTCAATTTAGACACGTGAACTTTCGCGGCAATTAAAGGCTATTATAAAGAGAAAAGGAAAAAGAGAGATAGGGAGAGAGGGAGAGAAAAAAGAGAATAAAATGGTAAGTATAAAAAATAGGGATGCGATTGTAGAAAAAAGTAATCGTTGTTCATGTAGGAACATCAGCTAACAAACTAACTCGCTGGCTGTTTCGAATAACAGTTTCACGCGATCCGAATTGACGTCACGCGTGCAAAATGTTGGTCGGTAGTTGCGTTGGGTAAACATCGATCGTTGTGATATGTAGATATCATCGTCCTCGGATATAATGTGTGTTATATTTCGTGAAAATATGTTGTTGTGGTATCTCTTGAAATATATATTATATTTTATTAAACTTAAACGTTATTATTTAGTTCTAGAGAGAGAAAGAGAGAAATATCTATTGTATTTCAATATATTTTAGCGAAAGAATAAAGGTATTCTTTTCTCTTATTTTATGGATGAATCAAAGATCGGGAGATATGAAATTGCATTCTATTTAAAAAGAACGCTCGATTCACAAATGCAACGGATAAAAGTTTTATAATCCATTTAAAAAATTCTAATAAATTATAATAGTAATACATTTAATTGTTAAGATAAGATATTCATTAATTATCATCATCAGAAGATAAGATATTAATATAAAAATAATAAAGAGAAAATCGGAAACTGAAGATTATGAAACATTAATTATTGGAAATTTCCGTTTTATTGTAGAACAAGTATTAAATCAATTACAACAATATATATTTGAACGCTAAGTACCATGTTAATATCATTGCGAATATCGCGATAATCCGATATGATGGAGGGGAATTGATTTCGCTTTCGCAGATCAGCTGATGCGCGTTCCGATCCCATCAATGATGCGTATCGGGTGCGCTCGAGTGCTTCTTAACGATGAGGAGGATCGTGCACCGGCATGCAGAAATATCGGGACACACGAACGCGACGCAGGATCGCGCTCTCGTTTGAGAAAGTGGTGGTGACGGTGGCGGCAACGTAAATCGGCCCTTTCACGCCCTTTCACAGAGGGAGGCGCTTTCCTCCAAACTAACGTGAAAGTGCATTAACCGACGAGCATTAGGCGTATTAATAATTTTGGGATTCGGGAACTCTCTCGGGAAAAGCCGTCGAAGTGCCGTCGATGCATCTACGCGACGTTATCAAGCGTTAAAGCGAGGATAGATCCCGTGTCGTTACACGTGTGTGTGTACACGGGATATCCCAGGGGCATATACGTATGACGCACTTTCCTAGAGAGAGGTGTTACCAGATCGATTTAAGAAGAATTGAAGCGCGCATCAATATTGTAATTTTATAACACCTACTATGCACAGATAGCCAAACTCGCTGCTTCAATCAATTTTGAACGCAGATTTTTCATAACAAACTATTAAATAAAATTAATATCACCGAGGATATTTATTGCAACGATATTGACAATTTTTCAGATATTTACGATAAATAAAATGTTATATATGAAACTACAATATATACATCTGTTTATAACATTCAGTAAATGCTATAGTAAAGAAATCAACTAGTTAAAAATAATACCGAAAATCTTTTTTTCAATCAAAGTTATTTAAAGTTTTTTAAATAAAGTAATTTTTTTGTATAGATCTATTCTAATTATTCTGCATACAAAAGTGTTAAAGTAGAAAAACTAAAAATGAATAATTTATGAGATTTTGTAAAATTTATTTTGTTATATTTTATGATATGAATATCAAATATTTTATAAAATTGTACTCACTCTTCAATATTTTTTTGTTACAGTTACTCATTTGAAATAGATGCAATTTTAAATATATATGTATATATTTTTATCAGTTTACCGCAAATACGTAAAATATTGTAAATACCGTTACGAGAAAAAAATATGTTACAGAATTGTTAAATATTCAGGGAAAAAAAGAGAGCAAAATTGATTGGAAGAGAGAGGTAATAAAAAATCAAAATATATGTAGTTGTTCTTAACAAACTAAAATGTTCAAGTTAACTCAATTTTTCCCTTCGAAGTAAAGTATCAATCTTAATGCTTCCGACGTGGAAGCCAACAGCAGAAATGAATTTATGGCAGGATGGAAAACGCGTGACTACCGTCTCTCGCGCGCAACATTCCTTTATATCAATTCGAAGAATTCGCTACTTACCGTGGTAGACGCGCTGGAACTTCTGTGTTTCACCGGCGGGCTGTCTTGACTCGTCTGTATGTCGGAAGAATTTAATTGACGGTTCGCTGCAGGCGCGACTGGATGCTGGGCGGCCGGCGGCTCCATGTTGAGATGGCAGTGCACCTCCAGGTGAAGCTGCGCCTTTATCTCTTCCAAAACAATCTTGCGCGCGGCGCAGAATATTTTATAGTACACCTGCGACACACAATTAATGACCCTTTAATTCGCGTCTGTACATATATATATTATCCGTCGCCAAGATAAGAAATTATCTCGTTGTAGATAGCGGAAAGAGAGAGAGAGAGAGAGAGAGAGAGAGAAGAAGAGTTTGATCGTCTCTGGTTGTTAAAGGAGTTGCTGCAGCAAATGCGGCAAGCTCCTTTCAAGAAGGTCGACGAGCTGCGTAACTCGGTGTGGCAATTAACGTCAGTAACAATCTCTCAGGTATCGTTAACGACAAGCCGGTTACGACTCCGGCGCAAGATATACGGTCGCGAGACGGGTCCATTTAGTCTTACTTATTGTTAGTTTGAGTCTTAAATTCAATTAGCCGCCATATCCGAGGGACGGTGTCGCTTAATTTACCGCGCGCGCGATGCCATCGCCAGGGCGGGCTTGTCGCAAGGAATACTACTTGCAATCGAGGCACATACGGCAAACATGACCGATATTATTACGACACGACACGACGGTATAATACGAACGTTAACGTGAGTTAACGCGCATTCCGGTGATGCTATGGGGGTGATTCTACGTGAGATTCTGTGGAGAGATCGCGTTACACACGAATGGCAAGATTGCGTTATACACGATGGCGCGCGAATGTATGCATCTATATACATATATTACACACTCACACACACAGTTCGGGAGATGTGTAATTTACACAAATTCCACAGCCGTGTAACGCGCGTGCGACGGAATTTTTCCGCGAACGTTCTCCGTTATATTTTATGCATGCAACTTTTCCTTCGCGGTGGAATAAAAAGAGGGCCGGCGCGCGCGAGTGTAACGAATAATGCAAATAACGGACAACAACGATAACACGCGCTTCGATAAATTGCCGTAGCTGGGAATTGTCACGAGACACGACGTAACAATTTTACGCCATGATGGCGACGGCGTAATAACGATGCGAGGCGGATATCGCGAGATTTTAAAGTAATTAAATAATAAAGCATATATATATGTACACACGTACGATCTTTTTTCTCTTTCTCTCTCCTCTATCTCTCTCTTCTCGTTTATTACGATAATTTCAAGAAGCAAGTTATTAAACAACAATATTAATGCTATCGTATCCGTATGAGAACGAACAAACGTGGAAACATGTGGCACGCGATGTTATGCTAATCCATCGATCTTATTCGATATGAATTTATTCAAATGCCGGATTGGAGTTCGTCTGCTTGTGTGTGGATTTCCGTGTATTATGGATGGTAACAAAATTTCTAGCTACCGCGCGCGCACGCGTTTCCAGGAAAAGTGTTGAATATTAAACGTCTCCGCGATCCATCGCGATAAATATTAAAACGCGCAAGATGATGTTCGTATTACGTTAAATATATCGCGTTGACAAAATATATGCGCTCTATAATAAATAATATCTTAATAACAAATTATCTCGATTTATATCGCGCTAATGTGTTAATGTTGTCCGTCAACGCGAAACTATTTTCTCCCACGAGTGCCATTTACTTTACATTGTGTAATTTCATCTCGACCACCCTTAGGCCTGCAGGGGGGGAGATCGAAAGTGACTCTTTCAGTTCGCTAAAATGTTGCATGAATTTATCTTTCCGGCTAATCGCAGAATCGATAACATGCAACCACTCGTACACATGCACACACACAAAACTCATGACACGTGCTGTATGCGAGAGTTATAAAGTAGGGAGGTTCGTATCGTGCTCGTATGAATTAATGAAAACCTGCACAACAACTGCGCTCGGTCGCTATTGGCTACAAGTTAATCCACGTTGAGGGTTTTTCGTAAGCAAAGTCAATCCCCGCTCGTTTTTGACCGCATTTGCGCTTTCGCGTTCATTAGTTTTTGTTAGATGAGACCATGATTTTCCGGACGCTTGAATTTTATCATCTGCTGTCGTATAAGATATATTACATCTTGAGAATAAAATATATATGAATTTATCGCATCAAATTGAAATACACTTTAGATAATTTTTAGAATATTATAGAAAAATATATATGTAAGAATATATATTTTATATTATCTGCATGAATCATTAAAAGTATAACATATATTAAAATATTTAATGATATTTTTTATACTCCTTTATATTCTTTTAGAAAAGTGTGTTACGTAGAAAGAATCTTGAAAAGTTTTTTCAGAGCGATAATATTGCATCTCTGTCTTTAATGCAATTTTTATAGTTTTGCATTCGCGTACTTCATCTCGTTACGATAGATTCGATTGCGAAATTATATCTCGAGAGAATGTTAACTCTTCGCGTATGTAGCTCGCAATGTAAAGTTTGGGGCACGATGATTAATCGTATTAACTCTTTAACTCCGCCTTAACTCAGGGAGATGATAGTGGCGCTGCAACGCTATGCATACCGGATATACATCTCTCGTGGGAGAACCAGAAAACAGATTTTAAACATTTACAGAGAGAAAGGTACATATAAATATATATATGCATTGTGTTTCAATGCTATTCCACGGAGTAGAAAGCTCGTTTAACATTGTTTTAATTCGTTTATTACCCCAAATATTTAATAACATAAAATGTTACAATTACAAGTGTATTCTACTATTTCGATGGTTATGGAACAAATATTACAGACTGATATAAGTTGCGATCACAATTCATATTTTAATGAAAATATATGAATATTATATGTTCAACAATAATTTTACATAACAATTTATTTAATTATTTTATATTTAGATATATAAGAAGAAATAAAATAACGACATGATTGTTTCAAAATTATTAATAATATAATAAGTTTATTTTTAATTAATTTTTCGCAATTAAATCATCTGAGTTTTTAATAAAAATATAAAATAAATAATAATCCTTTATAATATTTCTAATAAAATGGAACAAGCTACAGTAAAGCTAAATAAGCGTATACCGACCTCAATCATGACGAGCAGTGGAATGTAGAAGCTGCCGAGGGTCGCGTAGATTTGATAGAAAAAGTTCTGGCAGACTGAGCAGTGCGAGGGTCCGGTCTCGGAATACGTGTGCTCGTTTCCCATTATCAACAGGGGCGGCAGACTGATACAAGCCGCTCCTAACCAAACAAGGCTGACGTAGATGATCATCCGTCGCGGCGTCCTCTTAACTCCGTATTTCAATGGTTTCGTGATGGCCCAGAATCTTCAACATATACAGGAAAAGCTAAAGTGTCGAGATAGATGGATAGATATATAGAAAATGAGACGGTCAGAAATACTCGTTTATATACACTAGCTAACTAAATAGGGAAATAAATTCGACGAGAGATCCGCTGTTGTAGGATGCTCAACGGGCGAAATAAAGAGATCGTTGACGACGAAACCCAATTGTTCTCGGGCTCCCTTCGTTCTCTCCTTCGCGTATATTTCTCGGCAACGTGTATACAAACACAACACAATTCTCGACGGTGGCGTGTTGTAAAGCCTGGTAAAGGATCAGGAAAGGTTCTGCTTGCTTCGCACAGCAATTAACCAAACTAGGGAGTTCAAACGGCGGAAACGAGATTTGGAAACATCTCGCGATAGTATTCGTAGAAAACAATGGCGCAGTATCTAAATCCGGTAAAACGGGAAAACTGTTATCGTTTCGCGTTCTCTCTCTTTGTTGTTGTACAACTATTTCAGTCACGCCGGGTAAAACGAGTCTGTAATAAAATATCACGACAAAGAAATGCAGAGAGCGAGAGAGACTGTCAGTTGCATATTTGTGTAAGTAGGGTAATGTACAATGGGCCCGGCTCAAACCCGCATATTCGCGCGATGACGTTTCCGCTGCAAGAGCAAGTAGGGCACAGAACGAAATAGGCATGAAATCGGGCAAAGAGCCGAATGGATTTACTTGATTGGCCTCTTCGATCAATCACCGCGGACCTCGAAAATGTGAAAAGATTTTATTATATTTAATCTTCTCTTCTAAAATAATAATTTCAATAAATTCTTATTGTATATATATATATATATATAGTTGAATAAAAAATATAACTTTCTCTTAAGATTTCTCTATAAAATTTTTGTACGATTAAAAATATTAGGAATATGTATAAAAAACCGCGTTTACGTTAAATTTCATGTGAAATGAAATTCTATAAAATGGGAAACGAACGATCCCACGGGATGGTCGGCGCGTTAAACTTTTTAATAATGCGCGACGAACACGCGCGGGACAGTTTTCGGCGCGTCAACGTCGCTCGGGGTTGATCGCGTTTAAACCGCTTTGTCTTGTGCCATCAATATTATAACCAGCGCTCGCGCTGGTTAATCACGGTTAATTAACCGAAGCTGTCGACGGCAACTAACCCTCACCGCGACGAATGAGCCGCACGTCGATTTGCTCGCCCATGATCATGCGTGTTGTATTACATTATCTTACATTCCGCGTCGTTGTGTCAGTGGGTGTACTCGGCCAGGGAACGTTAATCAACGAGGCGATTTCGATTTTCGCGAGAAGCCGAGACCCTCTCTCTTGGGGCCGTGACTCGATCCGAATAGCCGGCGGATATATCGGAGAGGAGCCGTCGATGGAAGATTAACTTGCTACTCACCGGTCCACGGATATCATGCAGAGATTGAGGATGCTGGCGGTGCAGCTGAGCACGTCGAAGCTGACCCAGAGATCGCACATGAGCTTGCCGAAGGACCAGTTGCCCGATATCTGGTATAGCAATGCCATCGGCATCACCAGAAGCGCCACGCAGAGATCGCTCACCGCCAGACTGACCAGCAGATAGTTGCACGGCTTCCGTAGCTTCCTAACGAGGAACACCGCTAAGCACACGAGGATATTGCCTATCACCGTCCCGACGATGATGCTGCCGAGTACCAGAGCGAGGGCGATTGCCTTAACACAACAAACGCATTTCTACAGAATCTCTCGCGGCATTTCTACAGAATGTCGGTATATATATATACATATAAGGGTCGGCAAAACCGCACGCAAACACGCGAGGCTCCTCTTAGTTATGTCATTTATGAGATGTTGATTTCATGTCTCTCTGAAGCTTCGGTTCGTTACGAATAAAATGGATCCGCGTATTCTTTATACAATATAAAATTTCTAATTATACGATCGCAAAATGTAAAATATTTTAAAATAAATATAATAATCTGAAAAATATTTTAATAAATAAATAATATTTAAAATACAAAATTTTTTATCATATCGCGAAATAAAATATTTTCTATAAAAATACATATCAAAATACATATCGTCAAACTTATTTCTTTCAATATAGGCAAAGCTAAAAACTTATACTACAAATTATTAATAATTGTGAACATTAATACTAAATTCCATCCCGCATTCGCGATTTAATTTACGTTAATTGTTATTCATTTCGCTTTTTCTATTTATTATTTTTTTAATAATCCTTTTGTGGTCTTCCATTTTTATCACGCAAAATAAAAAAAATAATATATCTCATACTGATTTACGAAAATAAATGAGACAATTTTTATAATAATACATAAAAATGATGCCTATTACAGTGCATTATGGGAGTTGAATAAAGCTTTATATTCTCATATTAAGCATTATATATTCATCTCAAAGTGTTTTGTAAAATATAACAAAATTAATGCTCGCTACAACTGTTGGGAGACGAGAAGATTAAAAGCAATACACATTAAATATATATGAAGTTTTTGCTTTCGAATTCGACACGATATTGCTTGTTAAATAGATAAAAGTGAGAAGCAGAGACTCTTTCATTCTGTAAGAGTGCAGTGGGAGTTAAGAGCTAATCAATTTCACAGATAGAGGCCGATAAATTCCGCAGTGTTCTGGCGCGCAGCCAATTCCACATGTTAAATATATCGCATTAATAGAAAGTGATGTATTTCCAAATAAAATTAATGGGCCGTATGATGTGTTTCGTGTGCGTGTGCGTGTATATATATGTGTGTCTTAATTTGTCGCGCGAGAATTCTCGCTTTTGCCTTTTGTATAGTGGAAATATATGTATTCTATTAATTCGCATTACGGGGAAATCGAAACAATATCCTATACAAAATGTTTGAAACTTTCCAACTATGGCTTTATTACCTTCAGAATTTGCATCAACAATTCGCATTTGCATTCCGTTGGATACTACAATGCGATGCATGCTTTATTATACTGTATGCAGTTTAATCTGGGCTTTCCGACGCCGGTATATCAATTTTGGAAACATGCGGGAAATGTTGCGTTGCAGTTTTACGTTGCAATTTTACAGCGTGTATTAAATATAGTCATATCGTACAGGTAAACGGAGGTATATGTGTGTATGCGGAAAGAAGATAGATGCATATTATGCAAATAGCAAATTGAGTTGAATGCATGATATATCAATGTTTCTAAGGAGTGAGAAATCTCCTCCAACGTTTTAACTCTCCCTTTGGACAGTCGAGCACAATTCGTAACACTTGTGGAGCACCTTACACAAAGTACGGATCGTATTTCGCGGCGAAGCTCCCGGTAATACATAGTATCGGTAAGCCTCAAGAGTAAGCTTAATCGGTTCCCGTTTCGCGCAATCTCCTAATAAGCAAGAGACGACGAAAATACGGCAATAACTTTATCGTGACACGTCGATGCAGCATTCATCGTTCCACCGGATTTGCGCAACAACTGTAGTTGACATAATGGATTACACTGTCATGCGTGCAAATTAATATGCAAATATGCTATCATGCAGAATATGTTAATGGATATATATCGCGACGTTTTTATTAATAGATCGCGAATTATGATAAATGTAACTTTATGAAATTAATATTGTGATGACGGGGGATACGGGAGAGGTCGATAATTATGTCATCTATCTCATGCATCATCAAGTAGATTTCACGTTAATTAATCATTAAATTATGAGAAGAATATGTTCAAAAATGAAAAAAAAATTAATTGGTACGTTTTATTTTACGCTAATATTTTTCGCGAAAACATTGATATATGTTGTGAAAATTAGCTGTTTATTGGAACGTTTTTGCTAGTTATTATTAAATAAATAATTGATTGAATTCGGAGAAGAAAACGTGAGATAACTTGAATACAAAAGAAATAAAATAAAATAAGTCCAATAATTTTAAGACTACAATTTTTATTATGGAACACGTAATGCGATAAAAACGAAAAATATTTAGGACATTTTATATTTATTGAAATGTGTATTTTCGTTTGCCGTCCGCTTTGTTGTCATACACATGTAACATTTTCAATCGCGAATTACTCCTAGACGCGCGAGAGAACTGTTTTCCCATAAATATTTACTTAGACTTAAAAAAGCTTTCTCTGTAAGCTAACACTAACTAAAGTAAACTGTCACACAAAGTTACAATGTTTGTCGAGATAAACGGTTAGGCAGGAACCGTTTTAAAGAATTTAAAAAATACTTATCTCTCGCGAGAATATATATATATATATTAATGATATTCTAAATTATTAATATATTTCAAGAACACTGTGCGAAATAGTTAACATCAAATCGATAAGCTTGTCGAGTTTGCTCTTTCAAAGAATCATCTCTGGAAAATTGAATGAACCCCAATTCTGACTCGTAACGCGCCATTCTTTATTCGATTCTCTTGTTTTCCGCGCGCTCTCTTCCGGACGTTCGGAAGATTTGCTTCCGGTAATAAATGTAGCCACTCCCGCTCGCTCTTGCGCCGAGAGCACTTTTTCTCCGCCCTTTAAAAAAAAAAGACCTAATTTGTGTGGTAACTATATAGGCTTTCGCCACGTGTCGCTTACCTGAGTGGTGGTGTAGGGTGAGTTTTTGCCAGGGAAGCTCCGAAAAAAGGATTCGTCGGTGTCGCCTTGCGTGGCGTTGCGAATCGTGAAGTTTAGAAACAGGTTGCCGTCCGTGGTGATTACGTCCTGCCCCTCCATACGACGGCCCTAGCCGGAAGTAGTCCGGAGCATCCCAAGAGCCCCCCTCGCCGACGACTACGTCATGCTCCTTCTCTCCTCTCGACCACGGGATGCCGGGCAAGTTCGCGGCGTGCATGAGAATCCTTGCCTCGATTCCGATACGGACGGACGGACGGACGGACGGACTCAGCAGCGGTTCTCCTTTATCCCGCTTAAGGTCCTGACCGACCCTTTCACCCTCTGCAAAATCACGTTCCATCCCGTGACTGACGAGCCTATCCGAGACAGACGGAGCAGGCGACGCGACATAGACAGAGCTGCTACGTGTACAAACTCGAGGATTTCGAGAGACCCTTGGCGTGTGGGGAGGGGAGAGATTATTATAGACATATATATATATATATATATAATATATACATATATATATATATATATATATATATATATATATATATATATATATATATATATATATATATATATATATAAATTATATATAATCGTTCACGAGAAAATATCGTTCATTTTTATTTTCGTTCTCGCGTCATATCCTCTTTGTGATTTATTTCAGTATGTGTAATCATATCCGCTTGTCGCTATTTTATTTTAATCGATATTTTTTATTTCTAGAAAGCGGAAATCTATAGAAAGAGAATTCACGTATAATTAAAAATTGTTCAAAGCGAGAAATTGTTGTCAAAAGTCTCGTGAAAACTTTTTTCGAATCAGTTTCTTTAGTTTGAGATAAAAATTATTTCAAGAATTTTGTGAAATTATATTGAAAATAAAGTTCTTGATCATTTCTCTCCATTAAATAATAGTGCGCCAGTTTAGCGCATATTTATTCTTATTATCGTATTTATATAAAAATAACACAGTAGATGGGATGTATCAATTTTCCATCTCAGTTTCACGGTCAAGGAAATTATAGAATCTGTTTGCGGATTTTCGTAGCAACTCTGTTAAAGCGAGACGATATACTGTAAAATGCATTACGTAGGAAATAAGGAAAATTGGTCGGTGACTGATAATAGCTCCTTGTAAATTTTCCTGGCTCTACTTGTCCCCGTCCTTTTGGCGGACCATGGCGATTCCTAGAAACCCTCGGGACAAGGGTAATGGTGCAAACCGGGGGAAAATTCAAAAACTTGCGGACCCGTATTCGCGCAGGACGCCATTATCGCACTTTACGGAATAGGAAGCTGTAGCAGAAGTCCCTGCTGTAATCTCGAGGCGACAGCAACGGCGGCGACGTAAATTGCTGACTTAAAACGGTTTTACAATGAAATTCTGCAGCTTTTCTCCGCTTCGTCGCGCCGAGATGAGAGAGAACGCGCGCATTATCATTACGACGGTGCTTCTCGATGGGAAACGAGAGAGAGAGAGAGAGAGAGAGAGTGTGTGTGTGTCTCGTCGTCCGCGAGTATTGATTGGAATCGACTATTTAATGGCGAGGGAGTGTTTCGAAAGTTCTCGGAGAGACCAGACGCTCTACTCCGGGTCGGGCGTGAAATTTTGTATACGTCGTTGTAGCGTCGTCGGCGACGAAATAGTTATGGGGAGAGAATCGTGGCGGTCATTAGCGGACCTCTTCGTCGACGAGCTAATTATTACGCCGACTGGTTTATTGGATTCTGACGCTAGTTACAGCGCGGAATTATTATACCGGGCGAAGTGTCGCCATCATTTTACGTCGGACTTTCAGAATCCTAGTTGGCGACTATATAATGACTCGGTTATTCGCATCTTAATCGCGCAAAATTTATGGGTCTGGAAAGTCACGTGCAACATATATATATATATATATATATATATATAAACATTTTATAATATTTATAAACTTTTATCTCGTTGATATTTTTAATAATGCTATTATAACTTGTATCTTTATATTTCTGATATTTTATGCACACGATAGGAATACGAGACATTATATGTATCCTTGTAGAAAAGAATAGTTTTATGTCGAGCATATCTACAAGATCAGTATTCGCAAACACGAGATTATTGCTTCTTTTTAGAAATCAAACGAATTATATCGAATTATTTTATTATACCAACAATTTAAATATTTTATCTAAACCGATAACGAAAAAATTAAATACTCCAGTTGGAATCGAGCGAATTATAGACTACAATTATATAATGCTCGATGTTAAAAGGATGAAGGAAAATATAGAGCGCTTATTGTGCGGCTAATCGCTTCGGAGATTGCATGGTGAAAAATATTTTGAGATATCAAATCAAAGTGCACGCAAAGCGTGCATTAGGCGGCACTTTATGAAGTAGAAGAAACTCCTATTACGTTGACGTGCTAAGCAGTCACGTGCTCCAGTTATACATATATAACACGCCGAGATCTATGAAAACATAATTCCTTAAATTGCCCGGGCAAATCAGATTGCATCTCAGAATACGAGATTTAAATGCATATCGCGTATATATGTTTTCACAAAAAAAAAAAGAAGAAATCGGGTTACAATTTATTAAACTTTATAGCATCCTTTATAACGCTCCTTTAGCTCTCAAAGTGCTGTCGTGGCTACGTTGCATAACACACGGTCCGATAATAATTGAGAATAGTTAGGACGGAAGTTAGTTAGTAGCGATAATTAGTCGAGTGACTTTATAGTTGACCTTAGCGACAATAGACCTAAGATGAACTGCGCACGTGGATAACGGTAAAGTTTTGTAATTAGCGCAGCATTACATCACTTGTGAACTTGCGTCTGACTGACTAAAATGTCTGATTGGATTTGCAATGAATTTGCGGCAAAGTTCTTTTCTAAAACGCGGAAATGGGCGAACGCGCTCTTTGAGAGCGAAGTAGAGACATTAATCTCAAAGTTTTTTTTTTTCAAATCCTCTAAATCATCGACACGTTTGTTTTTGTAAAATATATCCTTAAAGTAATTTTTCGAGTAATTCCTTAAATCTTTCCTTTCGATGATCGGAGGGGAAGCCATCGTCGTTCGTTTATCGGAAAAGTGCCGACGATCTCTTTCTTATATCCGAAATAATGAGGTCGAACGAGAGATCGCGTCATATAATTTTGCAGAGGTGAAAATGAAATCCGAACCGATAGTCGACCTATTGGCTATTTCAATCTCTCTTGAGGATTGGAAAGCCGCGCTTTTCGTTCTATTCTGAAATTGAATAAGAGAATGAACGTTGTAACAGTAATAATTTCAGTCTGTATGAATTCATCAGGAACTGGAAATATTCTTCCGACTTGGATCTGATTTAGAAGTGTATAGTAACGGCGTAGGAATGGATGCGGAATACGGTGCGAAATTATATTACGTAACCGGATTAACGGAAACAATGGCCGAAAGTGACCGTTCATCCCGTTAGAGCTAAATCACGATAAACCGCTCGTATTGTGTACATAGAATACCTGGAATAAAGATGTAAGCTTTAGTAGCGCTTTTATAGCGTTATTAAAAATATCATAGCAAAAATATCAGTGAGAAATACAATTTTGTAAATAAAATAATTAAATTGATAATTTATAACAAGCTAAAATAAGACTGGTTCCGCTATATACAATGAGAGATTTGTGGAATAAACGTCAAATATAAATAAAATTAGGTAAGGAAGCAAATGAATAAAATAGCTCGCGGATCTTTTTTATCTACGTGCGTATCAAACTCGGATTTGTGAATCTCCTTTTAGCTCGTCTGTTAAAGAAGAAACAAATCAGAAACGTGCCCGACTTTTAAGAAAAGAAGAAAGAGGAAATTAAAGTGAATTCAATTTCACGCAAACTTTTTCTTGTCACTTTGCGAATCGCAATGTCCCGTTCAGTAGCAACAGCAGTGGCATGAAATTGCTCGGGCTGTCTAATATAAATGAAAAATATATAAATGAAAAATTCTAGATATATAAAGTATATACATATATTCTCGATACGCGTTCCGAATATTATTTCTCCAACACGCATACAGCGCTTTAATTTATTTGACGTGCTTTTGACGCGTAGAATTTCCATCGCGACTGCCATGAGTAATCGCCACCCGTGTGTTTGCTCATTTTTTTGTTCCGCACTGTGTGTTTTCTGAACTGTGTGTTTCCGCGCTTGTCTCAATGTTTCGGTATAAATTGTTCGTGCATGTCGCTTTACCGCTGCCGTGCAGAATGCACTCTCGTAATCGTCCACGAACTTCCCTGTGCAATCGTCCATCGGTTTCGCTCCGAAAGTGGGAAACGTGTCGACTCTCCCCGCATGATAAATTGTATCGATATCGAATGCATCGGCTATTATTTTTCGCGATTGGATATATACACAGAATGCGCATCTATCGGCGCATTTGATGGAAATGATTTTATTTCAACAAGAATGGGGAGAGAATAAAATTTTGTAAAAATCGGAAAAATAATCGACAAGCGCGCAGGATGTGGAAATATAACGCAAACGTAAATACAATTATATATATATATATAAACAAGCGTTTAATTTAATCTTTGTCACTTTTTATATGGAGCGTCTTTTTCTGTCTATTTTGATAAGTGCGGATCCCCGGTCTGATAACACACTGGAAAATCCGAGACATTGATTAAAAAAATAATATGTGAATCTCTCTTTTGAGCGAAAATTGTGGCGAATGATCGATTAAACCGAATGAAAACGGGGTGCATTTGTTACCGATGCGAATTTGTATGTGGCAGATCGCACGACTAATGGATCGATTTGTAATGTTATCCCTCCTGTTTCTGCTATCAATTCTCATTTAGCTTCATCATGCTCTCAATTAAACGCGGCGAAAGCGAAAAGCCGCCGACTCGTGAAAGCGCTCGGTGTCTGCTCGTTATTGTTCGTCGTGCCCACGTGATAGCGTAGATTAACGTCTCCATGTATGCATTTCCAGTAATTGATTTATTGTTTTCTGTGTTTTCGATATTTATCATGCGATTTTCCATAAATTTGCTCTCCAAATATAATCTAATTATTAATTATGCATATATATATATGTGTGTGTGTGTGTGTGTGTGTGTGTGTGTGTGTGTGTGTGTGTGTGTGTGTGTGTGTGTGTATATGAAATTTAAAGGCATTGTGATATGTTGAAAAATAAAATATAATAATTCCGCTTTAATTATTATTAACTGAATAATATTTTAATATTTTATACGATGTAAAATAATTTATTTTTTTTAATAATTTATTTTGCGTATACAACACAGAATACAAATCATAAAATATTATATAAACGTTTAAAAATAAATATACGCATTTAATGTTG